GAATGCTCATTACACAACTGTAAAGGCTTCATATATAATTTCATCTGGGGGAGAGCATTCCAAGGTGGAAGGGAAACAGGATTGTTAGAATATTGGGGGGAAATTTAGGGGAGGAGCAGTAGGTAAGGGATTCTAGGGTGGAATCTACAGGTGACCTCCTCTGCTTATGTTCTCTCAGTCTGTGCGGGGCCTACAGGGAACTGCTGTCTGTTGGGTTTAATATCCATTTTCTCTTGCGGTAAAGCCCTGTGTGCCTGCTCATGTTCACCAGGTGAACAAACACAACACTAAGGGTCCCAGGTGATGGACACAGGATGGCTGCAGTGAGGAGCGTTAGTGAACCCTTCACGCTTAGGGGGTAACTCACATTTGACTTCATGCCTGTGCAGCTCGGTGTTAAATGCCTATTAATTACACTCTCCTGGCAGCTGTGAGTGAGGGTGTATCTGAGACCCACACACACAACTGAAGTCAGTGACACATGAAAACCCATGGCTTCCACGTGAAGATAACTGTCACCTCCATCCATCTATGAGCCACACGGTGTACTGTGGGGGCAGAGATGGGAAACTAAGAGCATTTAGCCGGGCGCTGTCTCATGAGGCAGCTCCACGACCCCCATGGCGACTGAATTAAAGGTCCATGATATGCAAGTCCCCCTGCTCGGCACAGGAGCCACATGTCAAGGACTCAGTGGCCACAGCAGCTGGTGGCTGCCACGTAGGAGGAACCGACGCAGAGCGAGTCCTCGCTCACAGAATGTCCTGCTGGACAGACTGCTCTGCACGGTGTCTGGGCTTCTGATATGAGCACTCGGCCCATTTGCATTTAAGGGCCTAGTCTGGCCAGTGCAGCCAGTGGGGTGAGCGCTGTCCTGGTCACTAAAAGGTTTCAGATGTGACCCCTGGTCAGGGCGCGTAGGGGAGCCAACCAATCAGGGCTTCTCTCTCGCATCCACGTTCCTCTCTTTCTCCCTCTCCCTTCCTCTCTCTCTAATGTCATAAAACATATTTTTAAAAATCAAGGGAATAAAATAAAAAGGGCCAAGATGGCTT